GGTAAAGAAAATCACTCTAAAGCACCAGTACTGGTATAAAGGTGTTGACGCAGCTCTGTTGGCAGGCTGCTTGTCTAGTGTGAAAAAGATCTCGGTTTGGATCCCCAGCACTGCACAAAACTGGGAGTGGGTGTGAATTCCTATGATCCAAGCAATTGGGAGGTGGAGGCAAGAGGTTCAAGAATTCAGCTACACACCAAGTTTGAAGTGCTTCTGTGCTACATGAGGTCCTACATCAAAAGCACCACCATAATCATAAACAATAACAACAACAATAATAACAACACAATGGTTGCTGATACCCTACTGAAAACAGTGGGCTGCATTCCCTGCAGTTTAGCCAGTCTGCAGTACAGTACAGAAGCTACAGGTGCTGTGTGTCTTACCAGTGGACTCTGCAGACATTCATCCAAGGGCTATTCTTACACCTCTTGTTTGTGTGACCTGTTAATTTCTATGACTCAATTTCCTCATTTATAAGAGGGGAGCTATGCTTGTTAAGTATCAGGTTTAGGGAGTTGACTGAACAGATGTAGATAAGATGTTTGGAAGTGCACATGGCACCTAGCAAGTGACCAAGTGTTGGTTCCTGTTTAACTATGATGACCACCACTACCATTCCCATTACCTAAAAAAGCGACAGCAAAATCACAGCAAACTAAAATGTCATTCAAAGTATGGCCTTTGAAACTTTGCAGGCCCACAGACTCCTGATACATCATAGTCTGAAGGAATCCTCTTGTGAAGAAGAGTAGGAAGAATCCCTGAACCACACCTCTGGATCCTGAGGCAATCTGGGGATTTCCACATATCCTCCAGAGCTGCCCTGTCCCCGGGGAGCCTTCTGATCCGCCCAGGATAAGATCTCTCTTACCGATTGGCAGACACACTTGAGTATTTACTTACAGGCTTTTCTCTATTCCACCCAGCTTCTCCCTAATCCACATGAATGACAACAGGCAGTGAAGAAAGGAACAATGATTCTGAAAGAATGAGGAAGTGTTTCGCACAAGTGAAAGTTCAGTCTCTGCTGTTGACTTAGTGTAAGTCCTCAGCTCTATGACTCACTTCCTTTTTATAAAAGATTTATAGCCACCTGGTCAACTCAGAGCATCGTCCAGTGGGTCACAGAGAAAGAAAAACTCCAAGCACTTGTGTAAATGCAAAAGTTGCTTTTAAGAGTATCACTATACGGGTTCTCATGCTCAAACGACAAAAAAAGATCCTACGAACAAAATTCCTCAGATTCTCGGAGTACCACAGCCAGCATCTGCTTTGCTTCGGTTTGATCAGAACGTTGTCCATTTCTCATGATTACTCTATGGATTAAACAAGTTCACAGTTTAAATGGAATTAACCAGTTCAGGGGAGTCACTAACACTGATGTCCATAGTGCTCCAAGGCACCGGAACAGCAATTTTAGATACACAATCTTACGTTGTTTTTTTTTTTTAATCCCCCATATGGAAACTAATAGTGTCCCTGTTTGGTTCTTGAGAAAATTAAAGCTCAGAGAATATAAATAACTCACATAAGACAATGTCAAAGCTGAGATTTGATGTCAGCTCTTTCTTACCCATGTCCTTTGGACAGATTCTTATCAGTGCTCTGGTCCCTCTCTCTGATGACCAGTATTATAGGGTTCATGTGGGCCTTTGGGGGATTTTCTCAAATAGTCTCATCAATATCAAACCTATGAATTTAAGGATCTGTGAAACTTTATATGAACAACTATCTACCTAGTTATTCAACAATTTTTGTGCCCAGTCTGTGGGGACCCCAAAAGACCACCAGGGAGACTGACTCATCTATATGCAAAAGCAAGGTTTATTATCGTACACATAATTGCAAGCCAGCTGGCAGGGACCTCGTCAGCACAGCAGCAAGAAGAGGTACCCCACCCTTCTAGAGAGCACTATTTAAAGGCAAGAACCAGAAAAATTACATTAGCAGAGCTTGGGGGGACGGGTTCAATCCTGATTGGCTAGAATTTGTCTACTGGTGTCCAGCTGAAAAGCGATGGGCATGTGCCAGCAGGTGATGCTATCTACAATGGTTGGAACGTTAGGAATTTCCTTTGGATGGTCTGTTCCTGGGTGGTGTCCGGGTAGTCTCAGTGTATGGTCTTTCTTGCAACCAAGTATTGTCTTAGGGAAAACTACTGAGACCCAGACCTCTATTGAGCTTTGACTGGGTCCTACATTACACAACAAAGAATAAATTAAAACAATAACGTTTGTGATCCCCTCTACTGTTTTTTAAAACTTTTTTTTTTTTTTTTGAGCCTGAGTAGCTTTGGAGCCTGTCCTGGAACTAGCTGCTGTAGACCAGGCTGGTCTTGAACTCTCCGAGATCCACCTGCCTCTGCCTCCCGAGTGCTGGGATTAAAGGCATGCACCACCCACACCTGGCTAAAACTATCTTCTTTCTTAAAGCTATCTTCACGTAGCAACTAAGGTTTAATGTCCTGTATATGATTGCACATGTATAAATACAAAAACAACTTTGAGGTTATAATGGTATCACTATGCTGCCTCTCATGTGTTCAAATGACAAAATATCTTTGGAAATCATGTTATGAGTGCTAATGAAATGTACATCTTTTGGAGAAATATATTCTAATGCCATTTAAGTAAACCATGATTGGCCTTCAAAATCAAAAGGAAGAAAGAAAAAAAAATCTGAAAACAGAAGGACTTGCACAGAATTTGACAACTCTGGGCTTGCAGATCCCAGACCCACTTCAAGGCAGCTGTATCTCTTAACAAAGCTATCGCTTTAAGTTTCTATTTCTCCAGATAGAACGTGAGGACAGCAGCACCCAACTTCACTGAGCTGCCATAAAGTCTAAATTTAGCTTTGCTGAGCATATAAAATGCCTACAAGTTTCTTTCATGAGCTGTTTCTTCTCTTTAATGGCCCTAAGAGGTCACCACTAGATAGGGTGCATGAATGAGCCCATGAGGAAATAGTTGCAGAGTTCACCGAACTTACAGATAGACTGATATCTACGTAAAGCCATTTACAGCACCTGGGGCCAGCCTCACCCACAAATAGAAACTAAAGGCAGGGAAAGGATTCCCCAGAAGAGATCACTGAGAGACGAAGTTGTGGCAACAAACCAAGACCCTTTGATGTATGGACTACTCAGGACAGACGTGTAACATGAAGTTGGAGCAGACAGCAAAAGGGGTGAGAATACAACATGCATTGAACACTAGGAGCAAAAGACTTCTCCTCAATCTCAATTGCCCTAGAGACCCAAGTTCATCAGAGATAGTCTACAATAATGGTTGGACTATCAGGCGTGGACTGGGATAGGCCAATGTCTAATGTTCAGTTCTATCACTTACTAGACTGGCTTTGGGAAAGTTGCTAAGTTCTTCTGAGTATCAGTTTCTTTTGGGGAATACTGATACGCTTATTAAAAATATCTACCTTTTGAGGCAAAATACTTGTATGAGGTGGCACAGAATTAAGAAATAAAAATCTATGTATAACACCCTCAACACACAGGATCTGTGAAAGAGCAGTTAGAGCTTAATACTCATCATATTGATAATAAATTATATGTGAAAGTTGGGCATCTGAATGACATTAAGAGCATCAGGTGCTAGAGAAATGAGCCAAGGTCCAAACAAGCCATCAAAGCCAAGAGCCTTGGGGACGGAGGCCCTGCAGTGGGTTACTGTCCTACTTCACTCTCGCCGTCATTGGGAATTGCCACCATGGCCTCAAAATTCTTTAACAGTCTTGGACAGTTTGAGGAAACTGGGGTGTATGGTCCCCCTCTAAGACATTCCATTTGTGAACCTCAGCTAGGGTTGGAAAGTCTCTGCCTTCCACTGACAAAAGCGATGCCAACCACAAAATGATTTAGGTCTGAGAAGCCTTTGCCTTAGGGAACAGAAAGTGCCCTGGCAAGGTTCAGGGAGCCACATCCAGTGTCAGTACCTAAGAGGCCCTGGGTTAACTCAGCTCTCCGTGTCAGCATCCTTCCAAAGATCACTCTGGGGCTGCATGGAAGGCTTTTACGTTGCTGCCCGAAATTATATCACAGCGCTCAGCTCTCCCTTTTTCAAATTCTCTCTACACTGCCCACCTGTAAAGTCAAGGATCAGCAACAAAGTAACAAAGAGAATTTAATTTATCAGAGGAAATAAAGAAGTCCCAGACAAGTGAGAACCAGATCTGAAGACCTCCAAGGAAAAATGCCATAAGAATAGGGATTATTCTCAAGCCCACCAGTCAAAGCTGAGTTAACGCCAGAGTAAGGCGACTTTATTGTTGCTGTTGTGTTCACTTTTCTTGCTCTTGAGAGTCTGGTCTTGTTATGTAGCCCATCCTGACCTAGAACCTTCGATTGTGCTACCTCAGCCTCCTGACCGCTGGGTATAGGCATATGCCACTGAACCTAACAACATCAACTCTTTATCTAAGGTACTTCTGTATTACCACAGACATATTCTCTCCCTTCAAAGGTTAATACGGCTTACCAACACTTTAAGCATTCTTTTATTTATTTTTTAATCTTAGTAATCAAGTTCCTAAAACATCTCAGTTAATGATCGGCCAAATTGTGCCTTAGACCCATGAAGTACTATGTAAACTCTTAGAAGGAGATGTTACTTTCAGTTTGACACAAAAGTGAAATTCTGTCTGCTAATCATCTGATCATGAAGTCTGTAGGGCAACTCTGGAGACTTTGTACAGTTCAATGTGCTGAGAAGTATTGGCAACATTCAAATCAACATACCTTGCAATTTGTTATTCAGAAAAGAAAAGATCATAGAAAATGTAGCAATAGCATAACATCAATATTTGTATATAGAAGATATAAAAGATACCACAACATCAATACATTTAAAGACAGTGAATGCAAGTCATCATTAATCTAGCACACATTAGTGCTAAGTTCATATGCTTGGCACACACGTACACATCACATTCATGGATTAAAAACATGGCGGGACTCCCTGCTAATGAGCTCTCTTACTTACCATCCTACAATGTTTTTGTAAAGATGCCGCTTCTTGAATAAGATAACTTTTATCGGAACCCAGATCAAGAGACTCACTGCAGCCACATAGGCAATGGAGCAGGAAACAATGAGCCAATAGTGCGTTCTTTCAGCTTCATTCCTTGTTTTCTGATACGCAGCAGCAAACTGTTCCATTATCACAAGGGTAGGAACGGAGAAGGCAGCAAACTCAAGAAGCTCAAAAAAAACCAGCTTAATTTTTCTGCCAGAAACCATCCTGAAGAGCAGCAGCAAGCAGCCAAGACTCTGGCACTCCTCTGTTGACTCTGAGCAGCACACGAACACACACTGGGATCAAGTTCCTTGTACTCGAATCGCTAACCAGTGGTTTTATTCTTTTATTGACCCTCATATGCTTCAATGATCTTTTGACTTAACAACCACAGTCTCTTAAAGAAACAGAACCACTGTGGAGTGATGATCAAATGTATTTACACATCTCTTATTAGAAGTCAGAAGAGCTCTCAAGCAAGGAACACTGGTAAAAACGGAGGATTTTTTGTATGCTTTTTTAATGTAATGTTTGTAGGTGATTTTGGCATACCATCTATATAATAGTTAACACTTATTAGTTAGAACCATTAGAATAATGCAATTCTAAAGTTGAAAAGAATAGCTCTCATTTACAATATTACATCTATGCTTTCAGTCCCGTTTTTATATACAAGTAAATTCATCAGAGAGGTACTCAAATTCCTAAGTCTTCATCTTCAAAACAACTCTTTATAATTCTTCAAAGTTCTGAGAAAGGGATTCAGTTTATCAGCTTCCTAACCTGGATCCCACCTGATATTATCTCCACTCATTATTGAATGCTGATGGGTGGGCAACACAAATTTACACTGTTCTTCAAACTGCCATGATATCACTAGAAACCTGTTATCAGGATTTCCACATTCGGAACTCTGTATGTTGCCTAAAAATCACACACAATGTGTAAAATGCATATCCATCTGTGAAGCATAAAATTTACTTGACGCTGCATGATGATCATTGTTCTTGGTATTATGGGGTGATGATGAGCAACAGGGCTGTCCGTTCTGAAAGTGTTCAGAGTCCAATAGAGAAACAAGCCTATAAAGAACATCAGAGAGCAAGGGCCAAAGATGTAAACTACATAATACAATAAAGCTATAGCAGAAGACAACGTTGTCTTTGGGCCATGGGAAAGGAAAGGGAAGATAAAGGATGACTAAGATGAGGGAGAGATGTTGGTGACACTTCAGACAGAAAACCACCGAGGGAGCAGCAATGGTCAGCAAGAGCCGGCCGTGTAGAGCAGGGGTAGCAGAAGGTGACATTAGAATACTCCACTGAGTCCCGACAGAAATAGATATCCCGTAAGCGTAGAGCAGTGACATGGAACTTATTTTTAAAAAAATCCATGTTTTCTTTTTTAACTTCTCTCTCTCTCTCTCTCTCTCTCTCTCTCTCTCTCTCTCTCTCTGTGTGTGTGTGTGTGTGTGTGTGTGCTGGAACACAGGCAATACAGGCCATCTGATGAGGGTTCTGGGAGCTGAACTAGAGTTCTCTGTAAGAGCAGTATTCCTAACCACTGAGCCATATCTTCAGCTGTCATTCTTGCTCTCTGCCCACAGAGTGCCTAATACCATGGGAATAAGTGTTAACTATATTGGTATCCACTGAATATTTAATGCATGCAAATAAATCACTGCAGTCCCTGTGGGAGATGATACAAATGCGTAGTAAAACCTGGAAATCCTTCTAGAAGATGCTGAACAGATCAGGGATGGGAAGAGTCAGGGTGTCCAAGTCCTCCACCCTTCTCCAGTCCTATCTGCCTGAACAAAGGGCACTGAATCACGGAACATTCAGCAATCTACCGAAGACCTGAAGTCCGCTGGGCTCATCAGATTCTTTCCGTCAGGAAAGTGAACTAAGGAACATGGGGAGTGATCTAGCTTGTTTCTGTTGCTTTGATTAAACACTAACAAAACCAACTTGTGGGAAGGAGTCTCTCATCTTACAGCTTGCAATCCATCAGAGGGAAGTCAGGGAAAGGACTCCAGACCAGCAGCCTGGAAGAAGGACCTGGAGCAGGGGTCATGGAAGAGTGCCATTCATTGGCTTCAGCTCCAAGCTCATATTCAGCTACTCTTTCTTAGGGTTCTCAAGACCACTTGCCCCAGGGTACAGTGAACCAGACCTTTCCCTACCAATCATGAAAGAAAAAAATGCCCCAATGGACTTGTCTACCTGTGGAGAGTAAAGAAAGCCCTGAGCGTGTAAAGGCCTGAGTGAACACGTCATTGGCGTGGTCATGTCAAGGACCATAGCCTCGGGTCCATGCACAAATGCAAAGTCTTCCCCCACAGCATGAGGCTCAAAGGATGACTAAGCACATCTGGTCCAGGTGTGGAGGCTGACAGTGTGTGTAGAGAATGTCCACCACAGCTTTCTCTCCAGGACCCACCCTGGATGTTTACAACCTGAAGATTGCTCCCCTAAAGAGACTGCTCCTACCCTTATTCAGCTGGATGCCATAACCCTGTCTTCCTGCCCAACTGTATATATTAAACACGCTGTGTGGTTTTTCCTTCAGAGGTCCCAGCCTTCTGTGTCCTTGAGTCCACGTGTCTACCATTGTTTCTTTCTTTTGCTGTCCCAGTCACGTCAGTCCCTGGAAGCCAGGCAATGTCTCAGCCCCGAGAGGCAAACCAGATGAAAGTATTTTCAGAGTTGAGGTTCCCTTCTTCCCAGGTGACCCAGTTTGTCTAAAGTTGAAACTGAAAAAACCAAACCAAACCTGTTGTTGGAGTAGTGTGGCCTTGGTGGAGGAAATGTGTCACTGAGGGGGGACTTTAGAGTTTCAAATGACCAAGTCTTTGGGCTTTCTCGCTCTTTCTGCTTCCTCTGATCCAGATATAGAACTCATGGCTCCTTCTCCAGCATCATGTCTGCCTGAGCATCACAATGCTTCCAGCCATGACAATAATAGACTAAACCTCTAAAACCACAAGCCAGCCCCAATAAAATGTCTTTCTTTATAAGAGTTGCAGTGGTCATGGTGTCTCATCACAGCAATAGAAATCCTAACGAAGACAAATATCTCAATTAGGCTGAACGAGGTGGGAAGACTCGCCTGTTGTGTGTAGCTCCATCCAGGGTGCCGGACTAAACACAAAGGAGAAAGCCAGCTGACCACAATAATCTCTCTCTGCTTCCTGATTGTGAACGGACTGTGACAGCTGTCCCAAGCTCCTTCTGCCATGACTTCCCCTCTATGATGGACCATACCCTTAATCTGCGAGCCAAAATAAACCCTTTCTCCCTTAAGTTGCTTTGGCCAGTGTATTTTCTCACAGCAACAGAAAAATTAACTAAGACAGTAGCTATGTGATAAATGAATAAATAAGCAGAAGCCAGATGCAGAGGTGGCAGAAGACTCAGTAGGAGGATGATGTTAGTCCAGAGAGGGAAATGACCGAGACTAAGAAGAAGCAAGCACACCAGGAAACATCCACTCTAGGGATGCCTCAACTGTCCATACAAAAGGGAGCCATTGTTCTTTGCATGTATGTTCACATGCATGTGCATGCACACATTCACACAAACACACACACAAAACTTACTGTAAATATTAAGAAAAAGAAAAGGTTTAGTTACAAGGGTTAAATATATCCGGACGTGCAAAAGCTGACAACTCAGAAAGCATGACTGGGAAAAGTGTAGAGAGCAGAGGACGATCCTCAAAGCTGAGTATGGACCTCGTCCACTCTTCTTTGTACTCAAAGAAATATCTACTTATCGCTGGAGCATTTTTTCTACACGGGGAAATTAAAAAGCCTCCCCTTTGAAAACTGTTGTTAACTGTTCATGTTCTACTAACAGAGCTGAAGAGGAGAAGGGAGAAACAAGTTGCAGAGACTATGATTTACACTCTCAGTGAAATAACTTCATTTTTGCTTTAAAATATTGTAGTTACAGATAGTGACATACATTGCAAACTCAGAAGGACACACATCAAATTAGCAGTATTGTACCTGGGAAATGGGGAGAGCAGTGTAAGAAGAACTTTTTCTCAACTCATTTCATTAATATTGCCATCACTGAAATATTTCAAGAACCTAGGAGATTAGAAGATAATTTTAGACTAAGCAAATGTATTTTAAAGTCCTTGCAATTGGGGTGGAAGATGGCCCAACAGTTACTACACTTGCTCTTCGGATAATTCAGATTTGGTTCTCAGCACTCACGTGATGACTCATAGTTAACTCCAGTGTCAGGGGATCTGACCCCTCATCCGGCCCCCAGGGACATAGGGTCTGCCTGCGGTGCACATGCATCCGTGCAGCCAAACACTCACACCCATAAAATAAATAACAACTTTAAAATAACTGCAATTAAAAAAAGGTTGCCCTGTATTTTGTAACTCTTTAATTTGCCAGTTTACTTCCCTCGCTTTTCCTTGGGTAGAAGCCAAATAAACGAATTTCACTTCCACTTAACCTCTGAATGGAAGAACTAAGAAGAAGGAAACAGCCACGAAGCTAACATGAAGCAGGAGAAAGCCATGGAAAACCATTTCTTGGCTAGAACTGAGTTGCTGCCTCCTGTTTTGCAGACTAGTGGAGAAGCGTGGCCTCCATTCTTGGGCGCTCACCTTTCTCCTGGCCAGCCTTTCTCCGGTCACTTTCTCCAAGTGGGATGACACACTTCCCCCTTTGTGCCACACTCATGTCTATCTATATCCTGGCCTGCAGGCTGCAGCTCCACCAAGCACACACACTCCTTGAAAGCAGGAAACATCTGCCCTCATCTTTGTGTCATCATTTCTCAGCACAGAATCCAGCAGAGAACGGGCTGAGGCACAGGTTAATGGAAGGGATGAATGGAGACAGAAAGGGAAGCCCAGAGCAGCTGCAGAAGGCGCATCCTTCAGCCACAGCTAACTGCTCTTCTATCCTAGGGAATGATGCTCTTCCCTACACTGCCTTTCAGGAGAAACCGAGACAGCCATCTGCCCCCTGGTAATTCACTCATTCGACGCACATGATCAATATATTTGCTTGGTCATACTTACACCTACTCTGTCTCCTTCCTCTATCACATGGTTCTTTGGGGTCCTAGGGTCAGAGAGGGAAGACAAAGTCTAGGGGATTACACAAGTAATTTCATAACTAATATTAGGCAATGATTCTGGCCCTTTCCAGACAAAGGCACCACAGTATCTTTCCCAAATCTTCCCAGCTTGTGCACCCTCCCAACCATTGCACGGCGGATCTGAGCACTAACAACAGTGACTAGAAAAGAACTGC